CAGGGAAGAGTTTAAATATGGGGTCTCGGAAGGATTTCTTCATAAAAAAGGAAAGGGAATGGAGGATCAGGCTAATTCATATTGAAGCTTTCTTAACAATTATTATCAGCTCCAAAAATGTGGCAAAAGTCTTAAATACATAAAAGGTGATATATGCAAAGAACCAATCGATTTGTGAAAAGGGTGAAAAAGCTCCCTTCGCCACACCACAGGCTGAACTTTCATTGCAATTGCAGCCTCCACTGTTGCGCTTTGTAAGAAAAGAAAACAACAGAGGAAAGACACATGCCACTTAACATTACATATAGCTTAGCCTGATTGATAGAATTCCAACACGAATTCATAAGAAAGAATCAAAATGTAAGCTTTCCTGGTTTCCTCAAAGCTTTAACCAAGTAGAACAAGTAAAGTGATGGGACTTCCCTGCACAGACAATTCCCCATAAACGGTCTTAGAATGCACAGTTGATATATTTTATAATCAGTAACTAGGCATACATGGAAGTCAAATTTATTTAAAATTGTTGAGGTGGTGGCAAGTAACTTTTAATGTTGTAATTAAATACGTACTAAAAGAGGTTTCTTTTTTCTTTCCTTTTCTCTTTCTTTCTTTCTTTCTTTCTTTCTTTTCTACTTCTATAAAGGGTCATTTTGATTATGCTTTGTGTAGAGTGGTCCATAAAGTCCAGATTCAGAGTCAGTTAAAGTATCCTAAACAGAGCAAACATGCAGGAACAACATTGCCTAAGATAATCAATATAAATTATGTTCATATATTTTTCCATGTTTCTCCTTCACTATTTGCTTCATGTTTTGGAATTTAAATTCTTTTGTATGTTTAGTGGGTCAGTATAAAATGACATGCAACTCTTAGTATTTCAGTTTAGGCTATTACATTGGATTTTTCTTTGCAACTAGAAACCATCTGATGATACGTGCATTTTCATATTAAAGTACTGCTCTCCACTGCAATGCAAAACTTTTAAAAAGACACCTCTGAATTGTTCAGTATAGAAACTCTTGACAACCTTGTGAATTTTCATATTTGACAAATGGTTCTTATTCATGCCAGCACTTCAGACTAATGTTCTGGGACTTGTGGGTGTTAAAGAACAGAACAAATTTCCATATCAACTAATTTGATCCCACACTAGAGTTTTAAATGGGATTATTTTTGACAGTCCTTATATGGTAGATTCACCCCCCAATAAACATGACTATCAAGTACACAGTGGCAATTATAAATTTTGAATTCAATAGATATGAAAGCCTTGCTTCCAAAAATAGCAGTTTTGCATGCTTCTTCACAGAGTCTGCATTTTTAGATAATTAACTTCTGATCTGCAGCACTAGCAAGGTTTGGATAGCTATTTAGGAAACAGAATATATTCATACTACTACTTGTTACTTACTCCACATCCAGTTCACTCCCACTTCTAATTTTTGAAGCTGCATTCACATGACGTTAGTGACAATTCATAACGATCCTGTGGTTTCTTGACAAATGCTGCTGTTTGGTGCATCCCCCCCCCCCAAACCAGCTTCAGACCAATAGGAAAGCAGGATGCTGAGTAAGCAGCAATGTGAACATACCAAACAGCTGTCTTGTAGGCATAGATAAGCATGCAAGCACAGATGACAGTGTAATAAATAGGAGTTCTAGTGGGATTGCAGGGGCAGGGAAACCAAAAAGGTTGTGTGTGCCAGGGGAAGACATCCCCACCCTCTCTCTAATGTGAACATCTCAGTGTACATGTACCTTGAAACACAGTGTGGGGAAATTGCCCCTATGCTTAAAAAATATCCTCACTAATGTGAGCATGCTCTTAGATAGGAAATAAACTGCGGCAGAATCTGCTTGTTTTGGGGGCTTTATGGCAATGAGTTTGTGCAAACTGTTAAATCTGCTCTGTAACCTGGGGGTATATAATGTTTTAGAGTTAGACCTTTTTGACATTTGAATTGTGTGGCTTTTAACTGTGCAAGCACTCTAGGACAGTTTAAAGGTTTTATTTCTTCACAAGGTGATCCACTGTCTGTGCAAATATTTAAGATCTATAAAATTGTTCTGTAACATTACACTGTGCAGCAAAGACTGAAGTAAATGGGCTAACATACTTCGTAATCTCACAATATAAATTCCATGGTTAGCTAAAATTTTGAGTTAGTTGCAAAAAACAAAAAAAGCTGAAGGGTAAGAAAGAAAAGGGATGAGGTCCAAATTTTAGAGGCAAATTATAAAACTGATAATGTGAAAAATGGAGCTGGATTTGTAGCAATAATGTACTGATGCTGTGTTGTACAGAATCAAAAATATTGCGGCATTTATTTGGGATATTACAACTGCACTGAGCCTGGGTTGGTCCATACTGTTCGTTGTGCTTAAGTCCTGTTGAAATCAATGTGAATTAAGTCATTACTAAATTTTCATGGTGAGTTCATTGGGACCTAAGTCCTGAATCCAACCTATTATCTCCACCTACACATATTTTTGATGCAGGTCCAATATTGTTAGGATTGCATAATGATGATAATGAGAACTTGGGGATAGCCCCCAAAGTAGTCTGCTGTTCTGGTGTATCTTTCCATCCCTTTCCTCTGTAACTCGCTCACATAGGTATCTAGAATATGACTACAGTAGGCCATTGAATCTGCAACTGAGGCTGGTGTTGCCTCATTCCTAACAGAGAGACTTTGCCTTCCCACCAGAGTGAAGACATGATATATCTATTGAGTAGAAAGGACATTTATTAATTAAATGATCTTCAACAAGCAAGCAAACATGAATGTAGACACAGTATGATTTGAAGCCATAGGAAAGCAAAGCCGAAGAAATCCGTAAATGCTTTTACCCTCAGGTGCCTCAAAATCCTTAACATGACTTTTGCCAAGGATCAGACATTTTGCCCAGTCTACATGACCGAAACATTCTGTTAGTAGTATTAGCCAAACAACCAAATGCAAATCTGTTGAATCATCGGTCAAATTGATCGTTTGAATCAGTCAAAACCAATTTCCCAGTATGAAGTATGTGAAAAAACACAACCCCCCCTTTCAGCCAATAAAGAAGCTATCAGCTACTCCCATACTGGTATCAAATAGCAGGACTAGCTGGTGCCCCTGTGCTAGGAGAAGCAGAAAGTGCCGAGACTTAGGCTGCTATATACAGGCCAGCTCCTGCCTTTTGCTGATGGGCAGTGTATGGTGCCCTATGTGTCAGAATGCACAAACATACTCCTAAATTGTATGTCTCTACCCCAGATGCAAGACGCAGTGTGGCAAAACCAGCCTCGCTATAGCAGTATGAATCAGCATTTTCCCAAGGGTAAGACCATTCATAAAACCAGGCCACAGCTAGCAGCAGTTCCTACTTACTTTAATGTTCAGTTTTTTCTCAGATGAACTTAAAAGAAGCAATATAATAGTCCTATTGAGAAAAAGAAGCAACATAATAGTCGTGTTAAGAAAAAGAACTTTTGTTGATAGTTTTTCTCTTTTTGAAACTCGGGGCTTTAATCCTATAATAAATAAATCCCCTCACCTAAACTTCTGGGGCTTAACTGCTAGTGCTATGTTACTTCTTGGTATGAAAACATCAGTAAAGACGATAATAGTGCAGAGAGAGAGAGAGACAAAATATATATCAGAAGTATCTGTAGAATAGGTAAAGGTAAAGGGACCTCTGACCATTAGGTCCAGTCGTGGACGACTCTGGGATTGCGGCGCTCATCTCGCTTTATTGGCCGAGGGAGCCGGCGTACAGGTTCTGGGTCATGTAGCCAGCATGACGAAGCCGCTTCTGGCGAACCAGAGCAGTGCATGGAAACGCCGTTTACCTTCTCGCCGGAGCGGTACCTATTTATCTACTTGCACTTCGTGCTTTTGAACTGCTAGGTTGGCAGGAGCAGGGACCGAGCAACAGGCGCTCACCCCGTTGCAGGGATTCAAACCACTGACCTTCTGATCAGCAAGCCCTAGGCTCTGGTATAACCCACAGTGCCACCCGTGTCCCTGAATAGCAGTAGGTAAACTAGTTCTTCTGGGATTGTGTCCATTGCACAGCTAGTGCAGTAGGAGTCCTTCCTCCCTCCCCTCTCTCCCTGTACTCCCCTAAATCTGCTCCAGAGGATCCCCCAACCGTCTGGAGCAGATTTTTTAATGTGTGGGGGTTGCAGGGGAGAGGGGGGGGCGAAGTTCTGTTGTGCAAGCAGAAGTCTGTTGACTGAATGGAATAGCAGCAATGGATACAACCCCAAATTTGTAAATATTCTCTGTTTTAGAATAAACTATTCAGATTTCATGAGTTACTATATTGCATAGAAGTATAAATATAAACTAGTTAAAAATGTTGTAAAATCTTGCGCATACTGTAATAAGCAAATTGATAGCATGTATCAATTGGAAGTGCTATTTTTATTCGGCTTAAATTTAGTGTCAAAGGGACTTTCATATTTAGCCTTTTCCATGATATTTTAAGATATCTGAGCTTTTAGAGTATTCCTGCTAACATACTAATAAACTAATTTAAAGTAGACTTTTTTAAAAAAAATTGTGTTTTTAAAATATCCTTTACATCTCTATTAACATAATTTTTAAGCACAAACAGACACCCCCCCTTTGCTTAGTCAGCTTTCATGTCCCTTTTTAAAAATTCCTTATGTCCCTACTTACTGAAAATAGGAGACCGATTTCCTTGCCTCACAGTAATTTACTACAGGCCAAGACACTAAGAACAGGGACATTATTTTATTAATTAGATTCCTCTCTTTTTTCTTAAAGGAGGCAATATACCTGTTTTTTCAAAACAGTTGTGATTTTTATCTTGCCAACTATAAATTTTATCCTTTGTTTTGTTTTAGTTATTTAGTTTATGAAAAATCTTAATCAACTACTGTTCTTAAAAATCTTGGAATTGATTGGATTACTAAACACTTGCCAGGTAGGACAGCTCGCAGCTAAGTTTAGGTAGAAATCTGATGGAGTATTTCTTTTCTAAAATAGTGTATTAGGAAGACGATACCTGTTGTGACTAGTTCCGGGTGAAGTGGCCGTCTGTCACAGCTGCTGAAGCAAGTAAAGTAGGTCTATATTATCAATTATTAATAATTTAGTGCTCATCAGAGATTGTTTATGCATCCAGGAGTTTAATTACTGGAGAGGCATTTGTGCTTGTTTGGAACTTGTATATTGGGCTGCATAGGAAGATGTAAGCTTCAGTCAAGTGGAGAAAAGGGTGCACCGTACTTCTTAAGTACAAAGTACAAAGAAATGTGCTGTTTTAGAGAATAGGCCATATGATTGCCCTAGAGAAATTGGTATAAGCTACCTGCTAGCTTATGTCCTTATCCTTTGGACTTCTTACTGTTTTATGTTGATGCTGCTGGCAAATTCCTGGAGCTTGTGTCAACTTTTTTGGAAATTGTTGCATAGTAATTTACTTATTAAACTTTCTTCCCCTTTCACTTTATTATTTCCATTTTCTTTATGAATTTCATGCACATCGTATATACATGATTTGGCATATGGGAAGGGGGAGAGCCTCGGAGTTCTCGTAAATAGACAGACAGTGCTGCATTTATTAACCAACGTTGTGCCATTTCAGGGGCTCTCAAAGGGGGTCCTAATATATATTATTTTAAAACTGTAAAAGTCCTGCAGTATATTAAAATTCAGACTTAAATCCAGTTGTAAAACTTAGTGTTTCAGCATATCTAACCTTGTGCGGAAGATACAGCAGCAGTATATTGATGTAGGTAGTTTTCAGGACTGTTCCAGATTAACATCTAACCCACAAGGCTGAACATCAAAACACAAATTTATTTCCAAGTGGAACAAATGAGAGTAATACTCTTCACATCTTCTCAAGAGTCTACTTATACAACACAGGCAGCTGTTGCAGGTCAGAGAAAGCAAAAATAAATAAATATTCTGTTCAGATGATGGTTTCAATGGGATTTTTACAACTGAAAGAAATAGGTCAATACAAAGGGAATAGTCAGAAGTTCAGATTTGCATATCATTCAAAGTGTCTTTTTATTTGAATGTTTTATCAACAATGTTTTATCTCTCAACTAGCTATCAGTACAATCCGGACAAAATTAAAAATTTAAGTGCTACAGAATTTCAGTGCAAGGCTTAAGCTTAATGTTCCTACCTTAAAAGGCTGCTATGGGCTATTTCACATTACATTAAATTCAGCTGCTTAACCTTCAATATGATCATTTCACTTATGAATCATAGAGATAGTAGAAAGATAGGGAGAAAATTACACAGAGGTTTATTGCACTTTCAGCCTAGAATCAGGTCAGTACTAGGACAAGTCATCTCCTAACACCTGTAGCTTCCTCATATGTATGCTAATCCTTGAAAGCCACTGCAGTTTAACCCAGTTCCTTAACATGCTTGCAATACTAGCCTTTCGTGACTTCTTGAGAATTGGATCTGACAATGTTGCTTGTGTGTGTTAGGGAGGAGTACCACTGGTTGATGACATGTCATGCTCCTTCTGGGGTAGTTTGTCTACCTTTGGTCTCCACCCTGCACTCAGCTCTCACTTGTAGCTCCTAGAAGCTGTCAGCATGCGACAGCACCCACATCCCAGGAAATGGCTTTGACTGGTCAGCTAAACCAGGTGAGGGTAGCCGATAGGTCTTAAATCCTCAGTGAATTAGGCACTTCCCATGCATGTGAAGACAGGCTCTGGTAGATTGAGACTAATAGTGGGTCCAGTGGTCAATAAGACTGTTTCTGCACATGCTGCAGAGGGAAGTGAGGGGTAGATGGGGCTCATCAACCTGGGAAGGTAGCTCATCTAGGAGAAGGATAATGCTGAATCTAAACCTCCACTGCCTTGTGAGATATCCACTGCCTTGCAGTATATCTTCAGGAGAAGAAAAGGCTAAGGAGTAAACGCTACACAAACCTGCAGTGAAGTCCCTAAAATGGTTGGATGGTGCCTTGTATGCCTCCTCCTGGCAACTCCTGCAGCCAAGTTGGTGCCAAACACATTGTTCTGCTTTCCTTTGGACCATATGCGCGAGGCTGAAATGAGTCTTGTCATCTGGGTCTTGTCCAGGACCTCCATACACAAGCTTGTGCCCCAGGGAGGTCACTTTGCTGCTACTAACACAGCAGTTTGACTTCACCCACAGAGGCGCCCTTCATTGTCTTTTGAGATGCCAACGAAACAGAGCAGAACACAGAATTCTGAAAATTAAGTTTGGCAGCTCTAATGTGTGGGAACAGACAGATGAAATGTGGAAATGTCTGTGGTTTAGGGAAATGTTTATCTTTACATTTTTCTTTAATGCATGACTTGACGGGTTCCTTTTGTTTCATTTGGAACAGTGCAAGGTAAAGGTTATTGTTGGGGAGGGGACAGCAAAACTGAGAGTCAGACCTGTTGGGAATGCTTCCTTGCTTTCTGTTTGCTATGTTTTAAGATAGGCCAAGGACTGCCTAAAAAAGAGAGGGTTTGTTTTACTGCTTAAATAAACAGTCCTTCAAATGAACATACAATCCGAAGCATGCTTACTCAGAAGTACGTACTAACACTTGGGAGGGTTTACTTCAACTCCCATATTCCCTAACTATTGGCCCTGCTGGCTGGGGCTAGAGGGGCACATATTTTCCTTCTCTGACTTACATGTACTTGTGTATAGAATTGCAGCATTGCCATACTTGCACGGGTAAAAGAAAACAAGGGAAAAGAGAACTGAAAGAGGCAAGAAAGAAATTTCTATTTTTTTCAATCATAGAAACCTTCATTGTTTAGTTCCAACATGAATGTAACTCTCTACTGTGAATTATCTGTCATTTAATATCTGCTTTATAAATCTGGATGGAATAGAGTTAACTTGTTTTACTTCTGCTAGGAAGGATTGAAAATCTTTTTAATTGGATTTCTTACATGCTTTAAGTGATGACATCCATGCTTTTATCCACAAAATAAGGGACTGTATTTTATGGCCTCATTCTCTCACTTTGATCAGAACACAGTCCCAAACTAATTAAGCACAGATAATAAAATACTCCCAGAATGTGCACCCTGGCTCAGTGCCACTAAAAGAACTTGCACTCATTTCTGTGGTTCAGTTTTCCAGGGCACTGTCTGATGTTAGTGCATTGGTATGTTTGTTTTTGTCTACAGGTTCACAACTTATTTCTACTCGATATTAGGAGCAAAAAATGATGGAATCTCTGGGTAAGAACAAGATGGTTTTCAACTATTTACATATATTCGTTTTGCAAGCAACATTGATATGTTTCTGTAGCACTTACCTAATTGTTAAGTAATATGGTGATAAGGATAGCATTAGCACACCTTTTAGATTATTCATATTGTGTCTCATTCCAGGCAATTCCCCTACTTGTTCTAAATTCTTCAAACTGAAATAATATCTGATGCAACTCTGTTTCTCTTATCTGTGCAGCTATGCATTTGAACAAATATGTTCCTCACTCTGTGTTCAGATTATGTATAGTGAAGATGATGATACCAATATAGTTCTCTTTTTGTATCATGATTCACATGACTACTGAAGTCTTGAACTGGTATTTGTTCCCTAAAACTAGTTGTGGCAGCAGAGCATATGCATTTTAATCCTTTGATTTCACGTGCTTCTGGATTTGAGGGCTGCTTAACCCAATAAGGATTAAGAGCACGCACAACCATGTGTAAATGGGAAATGGTCCCTGTTTGTCACTTCATGATTGTCTACAGGAATTACACTGTGGCTCTGTTAAGAGCTGCTTCTAATTTGAGGGACAATGTTGAGTCTGTGCATATGACAGTTACTGTGCCTAACAGTCAGCATGCACCATTGTACCTTCACCATTTTCTAGTGCAGTGTTCATTTTTGCATTGTTCCCATGCGTGAGCAAGACTCAGAGCACAGTCCCTCATATGAAGACTCTTATTGGCTTCAATAGTAGTACAGTAGTAGTTGTTTACCAAGCTCCTATGCATATCAAGGGACGAAAGCATAATATTTGTGGCAGAGGGCCACGTTCCAAGAAAGCAGGCAAAGTTGCTATCACAGGGGGTGCTTCTATACTATGTGTTCACTTTGGAATTGCCATGCTTTGTTACTCATTCTTTTAAAAGAGCGTCTCCATGACATCATCACCAAACTGTTATTTACTGTTTCCACTGTGATTCTTCTATTTTGTTTAAGATCACAGCAAATCCAGCCGCATGCTACTATTCAGTTCTTTCCCCCCAACTCCAAGGTGCATTTTGCCTTAGTACCCCTTTTCTGTTGTCTTAAGAAGCATGGTTTTGACTTGTGCACTCATATATGGATGGGTGAACTATACGTCTACTTAAGCACATCTTCACATTATTGTTCCTATGGATGCCATTTTATTAGCATGTTTTAAAATCAATCTAAATTTGTAGTAAATTTTAATTTCTACTAAACTCCCTTTAAAAGAACAAACAGTATTTTTACTTTTTGTAAGAAAAATGATTAAAACCCGCTTCACGTGATGCCTTTCTGGCCAGCACTGTTATAGTGACCTATACTATTTATTTGGGGGGGGGTAGGGAAGCAATCTTCAAATTACAGTAATAGTAAAATAACTGTTGCTTACCTTTTTTTAAAAAAGAAGAAGGTAACTCTGCAATTGCACCTTAGTAAAACTGTATTTTAGTGCAAATTATAGAACTTATAAACTGATTTTTAAAATGGCGTCCTCAGAATTATTAAAATTGTCTTTCACACTAACCTTTACTTAAACTTGTCCATGTGATGATCAGGTAGCAGCTGTCCCTCTACTTGTTGTGTTGAAAAAGAAAATCATAGGATGTCTGAAATTTGATATGTTTGACATAGGATTGCTAAACACATACAGGATGTATTATTCATCCTTGCAGCAGTTTCATAGTTTCCTGAAGCCATATTTTGGCATAAGCAGCATAGATGGTTCTAGTGCCATCATTTTGTAAATTCCAAGGCCATCATATTAAGCAGTTCTTTAACCAAATTTGGTTTCTCATATTTTTTTGTTGTTTAGTTATTTATATAAGGTATTTATATACTCCTTTTTAGGCAAATCCACAAAATGGTTTACTTCTTTTAAAATAAAAACAACCCACAATCAGAAGTACATAATAAAACAGCCAAGACAACTTAAAAAGAAAAAGAACCTTTTTTGAAAGCCAAATCTTACCTCCCCCTAAGGTCAAGATGATCCTTGAATGGCCCTGTGGTGGCAGTTACAGGGGGACAGCTCAGCTAAATTACCAGAATCTAGAATCTCTTTTCTTTCCCAAGGGATAGATGTTTCTTGAGTAACCCTGTGATGGCCAATGGAGAAGGATATAGAGATAAAACAAATTCAGCAGTCCTATTCTGTGCAGCAGTTCTGATCACACTCTTTGCTGCAGATGTCTTTTCTTATTTGAAAGGAATACAGGCAGCAAGCATGAGCAGTTCAAACAAAGCATATATTGTAGATTGAGCTAGCTCTGAAATTCATGCTTTTAAAACTGTTCATGCTTGCTGTATAGTCACTAAGATTTTCAGATATCTTGCTAAGATGGATAGATGAGTGAAGTTGCTGTTATTCCCAGATTGCAGCTCATAAAATTTGTATGAGGGAGATCGTAACTCTGTCGCTTATAAAAACTGCACACCCAGCAAAAGCATCGTCAAGATCTGTTTGTATCGGTACAGATGGAAAAAACTTGCAAGTGTCTCCAGTTATGCGATACCCATGGTTTAAGTTGCCTCACAGTAATTTTCAGGATGCATTCTAAAATAGCCAGGGAATTCAAAGTGTTTGATTAACATAAACTTTGAAGGCTTGCTTTTCTATTTTCTCTAGGTATAAAACTGCATCTTAAAAAGGTAAAGGTACCCCTGCCCGTACGGGCCAGTCTTGACAGACTCTGGGGTTGTGCGCCCATCTCACTCAAGAGGCCGGGGGCCAGCGCTGTCCGGAGACACTTCCGGGCCACGTGGCCAGCGTGACATCGCTGCTCTGGCGAGCCAGAGCCGCACACGGAAACGCCGTTTACCTTCCCGCTAGTAAGCGGTCCCTATTTATCTACTTGCACCCGGGGGTGCTTTCGAACTGCTAGGTTGGCAGGCGCTGGGACCGAACAACGGGAGCGCACCCTGCCACGGGGATTCGAACCGCCGACCTTTCGATCGGCAAGCCCTAGGCGCTGAGGCTTTTACCCACAGCGCCACCCACGTCCCAAAAAACTGCATCTTATCCTATGCCTAATTCCTTAGAAATAAATCCAGTGGTTTAGTGGGGTTTACTTTCATACAACAGCATTAAGGGTTGCAGTATTAATTTGCCTGCCACCATTGCACTATATTGCACTTGACTTCACAAGTAACTAGAGGTTGGCTATTTGCAGTTGTTTTTAGCAGTGACCCATCATGCTAAAGGAACAGCCAATACGACATTTGCTTTATCACAGCCTGAGAAAATCAGCAAGAGCAAGTGAATTATGGATAGTGGTGTTGTACAGCCAAAATATAGTCCATTTCAACATCCTTTTATAGCAAAGTATGTATAATACCTTTCTTGTGGCAGCCCTTGCCCTTTTGGAACTTCAGACAAATGCCTTATCTATTGCCTTTTTGGTCCTTTTGGTCTATTGGTCCTTTTTTGTACCTTCATTTTTCAGCAAGCCTTGTCCTTGTCTATATCTGTATTGGATCAGTTGTTGTTTTTATTGTTTAATCACCCTGGGATCTTTCATGGGAAGCAATTCATAAATGTAATGAAATAATGAAATATAAATAAAACAAATAAATGAACAGACTTTGTTGGATTCCACCCCTACATCTCTTGTCAAATATGGGTAACATTCTAGTGATGGTAATCTGTCTTCCAGTTCAGTGACAGGCCAGGTGCTAGCCATGGTTTGTACTGCTCAAATTTCCATCTTCAGTTTGGAATAAAGCCTATAAATGTGCTGGCATACAGACCCCATGATGTTTACAGAGGAGATGATAAAGTGGAACAATGATTAAATGCAAGAGTTGATCAGCAAGATGATGAGTTTGTGTGTGTGTCAGTGTCAGTGTCTGAGAGAGAGAGAGATTGTGGTGTTACTCTCCCATTTTCCCAAGTGTCTGGTAGAATATAGTACTGTTATTTTAAAATTTTATTTAGCACTTTAGATTAACTTTTAGGAACAGAAGGCAGTGAATAAAGCCCTCGAACAAGAACCGTATGTCAACAAATTAAGCGTGATGTTCTCAAGCTGCTACTCGTAAGAAACTCAGTGTTAATGTGCTTAAATTTTAAACCAGAATCAGTTTTTTTTTGTTTGATTAAACATGAACTATCATTTGAGAGAACCTTGTTAAGAGACAAATTCATAACTATTTCAATGTATCTTAAACATACTTTTATAATTTTGAAGAAGCTGGCCCAATACATTTTGCTGCTTCAGGCAAAGAACAGGGCCACCCCTCCCAGTTCCACCTAGAGCAGTTGACCAAATTGACAGTTAAATCTTATTTCAACACTGGCAATGGGACAGCACCCCCGACTGTACTTGAGAACAGCTTCTTCAGGGGCAGCAGGTGTCATGTGAGAAAAACAATGCAAATGCATATGTGATGTCCACTGAAATGTAAGTCCTTTGCATGCTGGCTACCTCTCGGCTTCCTCGCTTGGTTGTAGGCCTTAATGGTGTTGTAGGTGGCACATTGATAGAAGGCAACAGCAAGATGAGGCTGCCAGCCAGTGTTGCTATCATTGCAGTGCTGACTTTGAACAATGGAAATGGTTACGGGGGGGGGGGGGGACAACTTGGGATGAATTGCTCCCCAACCTCAGCATCCAGTGCCCAAATAGCTATCTGCTAATCTTCCTAATGGTAGGGCTGGTCCTGTGAAGAGGTGAATGTAGGATGTATGAAAATAATACATGCTTACATGTGCTGAGAACTTCAGTACTGTATACAGATGTGTATGTTTCAGGCAAGGGAAGCTTTGAAAAAGTAAGAATCCTTGGAAAATAGAAGGGTTAGCCTTATAACTCTTGCCAAAATGTTGCTTGATTGGATACATTGCACATTGTTTGCATAGTAATGGGAGACAGAGCAACTAAATTATTAGGGGAATCTTTAACTTTTAAAGTTAATAAAAGTTAAAAGTTAATAAAATATTATATGCATCAGAGTGGGTAGGAAAGAAGATGTTATTTCTAATTACATCATTAAGAGTATCC